GTGAATACTCATGCAGCTGTTTGCTCATGTAATAAATGTCTAATTCACCATCCTCAAATAGCCAATCCAAGCTAAGAAGATGTCATCTGTGAAATTGATTTACAATGGATGGACTTGCTAATTGGTTGATCATATTTAGACAAGTTGGATCGTGAGAGGTGTATGTTGTTTGTGCGTTATTAGCCTATGCTTTGGTAAATACAGAGAAGAAAGTACGCAATTGATTTTAAATCAATTAAACAATTTTGTAGTTGAACTTTTTAAATGAGGTTTTTTCTTACTTGTGTTAATCCGTTACTGAAATTGCACTGACTGAAGTCAGTTTTGTGTTATGTATTTTATTTACATACTTTTAATCACATGAACAAATAAATATGGAGAACTATTCATTTGCTCTCCAAACTCAACCATAACATTCACAGCACAGGATGTGAATTGATGGATTTAGAAAAGGCCTATGTTTTCCGATGAGGATAATTTTTTTTATACCAAATGTACTATTACCATGGCATTCTGAAATAGTGTGTATAAATGCACGTGAGTAATAAGACATTTAAGTAATAGAATCATCAGTCAGAACTGGGATATAACAAAATATATGTACAGTACATGTATATGTTTATAATGTTCCATGCAATATAAATGCTATTTCCTCTACTTAAACAGAGCATATAATCAAAAGGTCTCCATGTAAACAAGGAAATGGCAATTACATTCATCACGAGTTAAACTGCTGAGTAAAAAATAAAAACGAGATTCGGATGAAACGATAATGTCAGGGCCCAGGGGTGATTTTCTTGGCTAGGGCAATACATTTTCAGCAGCTCTCCAAGTTTACACTGAAAACAGTGATTGGCGGAAGGTTCATGGTAATAATACGACAACTGAGACTTGTTTGTATGGCGTAGCCAGTGATTTAGTGTATTCTGCAGCAAAGGTTATACAGTGTACTGCTAATTGTGCATTGTTGAAGCCTCGTGCTTTATTTTGCATTTCTACATGTACCTGTAGACACAAATTATTTTTTTGCCAGTTGCTCATGACTGTAGCCAAAATTTTGTAAGTAGTGGAACCCTGATATGTACCTCCACGTTACTTCATTTTTAAACAAAAATCTGGGGTATTTCCAGAAATCAGGGGTCAAGTTTTTTTTTGTGTCCCTGTCATGTCTGACATGTGATTTTGTAAGTTCAAAACACATTTTGTATAGTGGACATTGTGCAATGTAGAGCTTTTACATGTGTATTTAGCCATGTTTGTTTGGGATGCTACCCCAGTGAATCAGTGTCTTTATTTACTCTTACAAATATAATGTAGCAATGTGATTTTGGTGTACATGTAAGTCTACTTGAAATTCTCTACATTTATCCTGTAGATTACAGTAGTTCCAGAGTTCCAATACCACCCCAGGCTATCATGATAGTCATATCACTGCCTGTCTCAGCACTGCACTGTAGGTGTTCTGCTCCTTTTTATTGATTTCAATTAGATTCAATAGTGAGTAAATACATTGTAATACAGCAGTAGATGTTAGGGGATGTGATCTACATGTACATGCAGATGTTAGGGGATGTGATCTACATGTACATGCAGATGTTAGGGGATGTGATCTACATGTACATGTAGATGTTAGGGGATGTGATCTACATGTAGCAATAAGGCTCTTCTAGGGCTGAGTCAATTCGAATAATTCACTAATCAAATATTCGACCTTCAATTCAATCAAATATCCAAGTATTCAGTTGTACCATGGAGGAATAAGAACACAGTGCCGACCGGCAGGTTGTTGAACAAACCATGCAATATTGCACACAATTGTATATGTACATTATGATCACTGTAATACAAATGTAGCTTCTCACCTCTAGGAGTATCTCCAGCCACGATTTAGTAAGATTTAAGAAATGAACAATACGTCTTGCCCTATTGAAAATTTCTATTCCTTTTAAATGTTTTAATGAATAATTTACTTTTTGAATCATTTTCATTTGAATCTGCTTGAAACAAGCCTCCATAGTGCAGTTTTTCTATTTAAAACATAGGAAATTCCCCATTCCTTTTCATGAATTTTGCATTCGAATATTCAAATTCAGAAAATAATATTCAAACATTCCATAATCGATCAAATTAATATCCGGATATTTGGATATTCAGCACAGCCTTAGGTTCTTGACCAAAGATCAGAGGGTTGGGGGTTTGAATCCAGCTACTGGCCATAAGTTGTGTCCTTGAGCAAATCACTTCACCTCCTCTCCTCCCTCCCCCCGCCCCCTTTTGGTTTCCTCCATCCAAGTGTATGCTGGGGAGCAAGATGTGATGGACTACAGGTAGTATCCCAGAAGGCAACCAGAGATAAACACAACTTTTAGTACAGAAATGCAACAAGAGCTGATGGGTTCAAGTGTGAAATTGGAAAGAACCAGGAACTACATGTACCATACGTGTACATTCCGGTTCCATCTACCTGTATTTTTTTTCCCCAACAAAAAAAAAATCTTTGGAATACAACTCCAGGAAAAGTAAGAGCCAATTTCCTGAGGACAGAAAAACTGGGGCGTGTTCAGTAATTTGTGTAGGTACATGTACAGTGTGCATACCCCTGTGGCTACACTGAAGTTTGCATAACTTAATATACATGTAATGTAGCTACCATATACATGTGCATGTCCAGCTACCATATACATGTGCATGTACATGTCCAGCTACCATATACATGTGCATGTACATGTCCAGCTACCATATACATGTGCATGTACATGTCCAGCTACCATATACATGTGCATGTACTGTAGATGTCCAGCTGCCATATACATGTGCATGTACTGTACATGTCCAGCTACCATATACATGTGCATGTTTTGCAAATAAGAGTCACAGAAATGTAGGCCTGCGTTTACATGTACAGCGTTTTGCTTTTTTCCTGGTGCCCTGGTATGATACATGTATTTACTGATATCACTGTATTTGTTGTGTGCGATCAGTCGATCAGTGTTATCCTGTTACACTATCACTTCAGTTGATCCGATATGAAATCTCCCATTTTACTTCCTTTTTCCAAACAAGCTGTGACAACTACGAATTAGAAAGAAACGGGGGATTTGGTTGATGGTGGAATTATTGGTAAATCATGCAATCAAACTGACAGACCAAGGGAAGATTGAGTGAATTGCTCAGATCAGTCAATCGCAACTACTAGTAACAAATAGGAACATTAACGGTATGTACCGGTACAAGGTACATACGCAGAAAGACATGTACATGTGCATGGATGCGTTGTTCAGGTGCATGCATGCCATTACATGGCATACATGTACATGTATGTATGGACTAATTTCCTAAAACGCGATAATGCCATTTTGTTCTAGTGCCTGCTGCAGTTGAAAGCTGTCCCACTTGCCAAAACTTAATTTTAAGATGTCTTATGCACCATAGTAAAACACAACATAATAACTTAATTTAGTGATAAATAACATTTACAGACAACTTGTTCGCTTTTTAAATATCAAACTACACGAATAGCACATAATTGTAAAAAAAGGTCTTTTTTGTTTGTTTTTCAAGTGGTTATACAGTACATGTACAATCATAATGTGTTTTTGAAATAGACCCTTCAAGTGCATTATGCGTTGTTGTACACACTGTCTATCGGTACATACACGTACAAATGTAATTGAACAATGTACATTGTATGTGCAATATCCAGTGTTAGGCCCTACCTATGTGTTTATATACATAGATACTGTACAATACGTTGATATGATATCTGAGAACACATCTATTTGCACACATGCGAGCTTAATTTTATGATGTTGAGCAAGATGATTAATGTCCCGTTTTGCAAGGCCCTATTTATTGTGATGACATTTTTTCTGACGTCAGACTGGCATTTCTCAGTTTCTTAGGTACCAAAGTATGCCAAGCATTAAATGTGTTCTTGTGAGGGGTACCAGTACAAGGTGGCATCATCGTCAGATTCTTGTATCACTGTTTGAAATATATACAAACTCAAGCTTCAACGTTTTTACCAGATTTGCTTCATTTGATAAGTTTCAGCACCTTGCTCTGTACATTTTTTTTTCACTTACGTGGAGTATTTTTAGCCTTTCCATTGTTGATTTGGATGCTAAATGTGATCTGGTAAAGTTTATTGAGGAAAGAGCTTCAAGGTATAGAAAGTCTCACTTACACATAGCATTGTCATGGAAGTAGTTTCCCACAGGTAACAATATTTCAATTCAGAAGTTCTTCTGGTAACTTGTGTCATCACCTTGCCGCTCTACCAAGTTTCATTCTTCAAGTATGTCTGCGATCCATTACATGTGTAAATTGAAACAAAAATGCTATCTGGTGCAACTGACGATTTCATCGAGCCTCTGTCTGTTGGAAGATATTCATAATCGTTATTCTGCCTTCTGTAAATACCAGATACAGTTGTCGGTTGTTTACACTGCATACTATACACCCCACCCATTTTCTGTGTACAGATTTGGTTTGTCTCAAGAACCCCAAGTAGGAAGCTCGCTTCAGTTTTTGGGGGGGCATTAAAATTGTAATTGATAAGTACATGTACACGTAGCGTTGTTTGCTTTCATTTTCGCAACATGGACTTTTTTCACACTTCTGTAGCCTAGAGATTTGTTTTCTTTAACCACAGGAAAACAAACTGCCGGTACAAACATGTACATTACATGTTTATGTAAAACAAAGACCTGCCCAATTGTTATTAAAACTACATGTACATGTACATGTTTGTGTAGTACAGCATGACATATGAAACTGTATTGTATCATCAGTATGTACATTGTACACTACAGAACACAATTATAATTCTTGCCTGAACCTTAATGACGTCTCCACACTCATGTTAAAAGATTGAAAGCAAAATGGCCCTTTAGTGGTTAAATCTCACTTCTTCAGCTTATTGTATTAATTAAATTATTAAATTCAGATGTGGAGTGCTTTCATCATGGTTCTGTTCCATTTTTGGTTTTGCTTTACAGGACAGTCCTTGCTACAGATTGCAGAAACTTACAGACAAATAGAAGCAGAAAGGGAAATCAAGGTATTTAACCCTAACCCCCTAGGCCTTTTTACCAGGAACCATCCTCAATCCTCCAAAGTCCTCCAAAATCCTCCGATTTTCAACATGAAAAAATTGCATTCAGCCTGAATCCTCCAAAATTTCTTGAAAATGTTTTTTGGAGGTCTGCCTGCTGCCTCAATCCTTCAAAATCCTCCAGCAATTCCTGTCATTATATTGAGGCAGTGCGAAGGGCATTCTTGAGCAGTGCGGTTGATTCAAAGGAAATATCGGGCTGAATTTGTGCTTGACTAAGCAAAAACAATACAAGGTCTAATCCACAACCTTCACGCATGGCATCCTTCATAATCAGCCATGCATTTTTGCCATTCACCCTCAATCCTCCAAAATCCTCCAAAATCGCCGGAAGGATTTTGGAGGATTGAGGAGGGTTAGGGTTAAAGAAATGAACAAATCGATACAGTAGTGTCTGATGAGCAGCCCCCAGTTCAGTTCTCCTTACAATCCTCAAGGCCGGTTCATACCGTACTATTGGCAAATGTGAAAGTGAAACGAATTTTACGTCACATAAGATTTGAAGTGAAATTTCGCTCGAGTTTTAATGTGTTTTACTTTGGGGAATTTGCAGCCGAATGTTTTGTCTGACATCACAAATCCACATTTGGGTTTGCTTTCACGTTAAATATGAACCAGCCTTTACGTTGGAAGGGCTGTTTAGTACATGTAAGGCTTCTATTTGTTCACATACTGGTATGGTAAGTTATCTAGAAACCGGTTCCAAATCATGGGACAGGGTGTCTACACAGCCAACTGTGCACATTCCTGCAAACCTCACTCAGATCAAAGGATGTAACACTAATTAACACTAACTGCAGTTCCAGTACATGTTGCCCTGTGTACATATTTTAAATAGCTTCAATATTGATGATGGTGTCAACATTGACTATATGGTTTCATCATGGACCACACTGCTTTGATATTGACTATATTGGTTTAACATGGACTATTTGGATCCCTTGACTGATGATAGCAAAAAATACTACTGATACCTGTAAAACATACATAGACCTACAGGTGTAAGCAAAGTCGCAATTGACTGAAAACCAGCCAAAGCCAGTATAATAACCACAAAATTTGGGCCGATAACATTTTCGTGGCAAGCAAAATTAATCCACAGTCAGCATATGTCTACTTATTGCATCATGAAATACACCCCAAGGTGAACTTTTGTTTGAAACCTCCTAATACTGTACGTAGGTGAGTCGTGTTGATTAGAAAGTTATTCCAAACTGGAAGTGTGGGTTGTACGGTACGTTTGAACTGATAACAGACTTTTCAGCAGTTGTCTTTATTTTCTTATCCGCAGTTACATGCTTTCAGGAAAGAGTTGTTGAATCCTTTAGAAGCCAAAGTAGAGACGGACATCAAGGCAGTACTGCAAGCTCAGAAGGCGTACCTCAGCGAGAACAAAGTCAAAGCAGAGGTATGGGTGTCTCTACTTTACATCTTCCATGGTGCTTTAGAACGGTCCTCCTTTGCTTTATCCGCATGCGCAGAACTCATCTGCAGGTGCACAGCAAAATGAGTCACAAATGCCCCTGTTTCTTCCCCAAGTTCATCCAGGTTTTTTTATCACTGGTTGTACCATGCTGGTGTAGAGTAGGTTTGGTCCGTTTTGAGGCTGGCTTTCTTTTTCTTAAAACTTAAATTGCTGAGGGTAAGGAGTTTGTTTTAGGGGAGAGGCAGTGACTTTTCCCTAACAGTCCTGAATCCTCCAATATCAGGGGAATTCCACACTTCCAGGGTTGATCCCTTCATTAGGATCATGTGTTTGGATTTTAGTTTCTCTTCCATTATTTCAAAGAAGATTCTGAAAAGTGAAGCTTACTTTTTTATACAAATCATTTGAGGGCTCAGAACTTTCAGGCTTAAAATAGTGGTTGCAGTCATATCATGATTCAGCGTATGGCATCATTGTTCTGAATTACACCAGGTACTTCTGAAACAATTCATCATGTGATGCTGTTTGTTGCTATGCCTCGGGGAGTAAAAAAAAAAACCCTGACTCAAAATGAAATTGAACAATCTGGCAAAACATACCAACTCACCACATTGGATAGGCACCAAGAATATCCAGGCTAGATTTGTTTTTCGAGGCTAGAATTTTTTCCCCTCGTTCCATGTTCAACCTACAGGTACATGTACCTTGTAACCTTACATCCTGCCAGCAAAGCGATAACATCCTGATAGCATAAGCACCTTGCCCTTAGTGGTAAAGATGTGCAGGATTGCATTACACTGACTCACCTTAATCAAATTCAGAACAAAACAAGCACGTTATGCTATCTGCTGCCAAGGCAGGGATATCAGAGATACATGTATATTATGGTTCACATGGTCAGTTGTAATTAATAACAGAATAACTCAGCAAAGTTTTGATTGTTGAGCACTTTCCAATCAGTTCTGTGGCATCACACCCTGTAGTTTAATTTAGAGAGGATTTGAGGTGTCAGTCTCAAGTAAATTGTGATTTGGTACCAGGGGAAAATCTACCCAGAGACTTTTTGACTTTACCCAAGTTTAGAAGGTCTTTTGGGGTTGGCCAGATATACCTTGAGCCTGCTACAAGGGGGCTCTGCCTGTTTGAAGTACCGTAGATGGTACTGGACACCATCTAACAATTGGTGATGTAGTTTAGGGTATACTTTTGTTGTTGTAGACTTGGACCCAGTTTTAGCCGCTGGCGTGACTCTGTTGAGAAGGGATAGGAAGACAAGATTCACACCCTACACTATTCCACATCTGTACTGACACTTATATAATTATGAAATGAGGTAGTTTTCCACCTCAGACTGTAGCGTTTAAACTCACACGTATATATCAAGCAGAATCCAATAAGGATGTGTGAAATCGAGGCCAAAAGGATCCAACGTTTTGAGTTCAGTGCTCCTCCACTGGACAGAATCACATCATTTGTTATAAGCATTAAGTTTTATAGTCGGGTTTTCCAGCAAAGTCAGCCTTGCAAAGTGTCCAAATAATCTGTACCACACATGTGCATGCTTTCCAGCATTAGGGCAAGAGTTTTGTACATAAGTGCTGCACGTACAGCATGCAGCATAAACCGCATCTGTTCTGCGTACTAAAGACAAAGTCAACAGGAAATTTGGCATTGCCAAATCCTGTGTTGGTTTGTGTCTAATGTTGACGTTTTTCATCAGTGATGCGATGTATTGTACATGTACCTGATTCGAAGAATTTGTTTCAGTTAAATTTAAACATGATCTCAAACACCCTGATAAATTAAACACATGTTAAAAATTTAATTTCCATCTGAAATGAATACAGCCCGTAATGTTAAAAAAAGACTAAAGACAAAAACCCCATGATTTTGTTTCACCCATCAGAACAATGTAATGAAAAATCTGCACCATATTTTGTAATGTGTGCCTTGTGGTGGGCACCGGTTTTAAAGTGCCTGAGAAAATACATGCCACGAAGCAATTTATTTGTGGACATTAATTGAACTATCAAATGCTACCTTTTACAGTTCAAATTGAAAAACAAAATTGTGCAGGGTTTGTGCCGGATCTTTTCTCAACTAGGCAATCCTGCATTCACCTCAAAAGTCATATTCTGCTTATAATCTAGGAAACTTCTGTTGTTTCTGTCTGTTTTCTGCCAAATCAGAAAAAAAATCGTTCACCCTTGATGTCAGTATGGGAGACTCAGTTGACCAAAGGTCTACCCGTGATGACTTTGACAGACTTGGTTGAAACCCTGCCATACATATATGTACCTATTACTCACTTCCATGAGGTTGGAGGTGATTAATAGAATCATGATGCTGGCTGGAAGTGGTTACCCACGTGGCATTTATTTTCAGAGGTGCTGGTGAAATGGCACACAAACATGATTGCTGTGATCTGAACAGATATGGTGACGTGAATATTTATGTTGACACCAGGGGTTTAATGTCGTGATGTAGAGAGCACAGTTGTCTGCTTATGGATGTCTCACCCCTTCTTAAGTACACTTAGCCCAACTGTGTAACTTAAAGTTGTGATACAGTGACAGGTATCAGGGTCAACAAGTTGTTGTGAAAGTCATGGGAAATGGGAGATATAGGATGTCATGGAATCCTGTTAGAGGAAAAAAGTCATGGAAAAGTAATGGAAACTAAAATAATGGGAGGGTTATGGTACGGTACTTCTGATGGGCCGTGGGCAATTTTTTTTTTATTCTGTAAGCATTCGCGCCTTACGATATAAGTATATGTATATGCCAAAGCTTTGCACAATTTCTTCTGATGTACATGTAGTTAGCAAGACTTACCTGCCTAAAATTACGCATGTCTGGAGTAGTGAGTGGTGTGGATCTTCTGCAGGGTAGAGAAATGTTCTGTGTTTTTTTCTGTTTTGAGTGGGTACTTTTGGAAGGGAATTTATACTCTGGAACAGTGCTGATTAGTTGTCAGCTTACCAGGTGTGGAGCACTCTCAATTGAAAAGAAAAAAATGATTGTCCATTTATTTTTTATCTGTAAAAGAATCCACTTGCTCATAGGGCTCCCAGCGTCAGGGAAAATCCTGAAAAAGGTTGTTGTGAAAGTCATGGGAAATGGGAGATATACATGTAGGATGTCACGGAATCCTGTTGTCAGAGGAAAACAGTCATGGAAAAGTAATGGAAACTAAAATAATGGGAGGGTTATGGTACGGTACTTCTGATGAGCCGTGGGCAATTTTTGATGTGAAAGTGGAATACTCAGTAACATTACAGTCTATACCCTTGTTGCTCTGTAGTCTGTGGCTATGGAAGTCCTTCATAATACTTTTCTCTGCAAAAAAGGCCTTAAACGTCTCGGCAATTGTCATGCTTTAGTCTGGGAAAGTCCTGGAAAAGTCGACGAATTTGGTTTCCAGAATTCATGTCCTGTCCAGGAAGAGTGGAAGCACGGTCTCTAAAGAGTTGGCATATTGAAGTACTAAAAACAAGAAAAATATCTCCAAGGGGGCAACTTGCTACTCCCCTTCCCCTTCCCCCTGGTGTATTGCCTCTATGTCGGAAATGTGGAGGGTACTTACTTTTAAGACCTTGTCAGAGGCACATGGCGTGTGGGCATTTGTTTCTCATTTTTATCTGTAGAATCGATGGCCAAGTTTCCGTCATGCTCTGTCTTGTAGGCTACTACAGACAGTCGTCTAGATACGGAACCAGTATATATCTACATGTATGTGCTGGCCAAGTCTATTTTCGTTGCTTGTGTTTTCCTGGTGAGGCCTTGTCAAGACTTTGGCATCCTTCCTCGGAATTGCCTCAGAAATCTATAAATAAAACTGGACCCAATAGCTAGACATCTTAGCAGACGGACTTGCAAGTGAAGTATTGTTTGACAGCAAATAACATTGGTGTCATAAGCAGTAACTTAGTGCCTTATTTATGAAGGAGCTACAATATTTGGCCAGCCTCATCCCTGTGCTATCTCTTCTCCTTGCACTTCCCATTACTTGAACCCTTATCTTTTGGTGTAATCTTCCATGAGTACTTTCATCATTGAGCTTTGGAATGTGTTATTTGTAGTATTTGTATTCTGGTTGATTGGTCTGTGTTTGGTTTAAAGTGGGATGTGACACAAATGGTGTTTTTTTGTTTTTTGTTTTCATTATTTATGTATCCAATGAACTTTTTAAAATAATGAGTCTTGATACACTCTACACGTAGTAAGGTTGATTTTTGAAATTTATTTTATTGTAAATTTACAATTCCAGCCTTTTACTATAGCCATCTGTTACAGATATTCGATTAAAAAAATTCATGAATTGCATCGTTACATGCAACCCCCATTAGTCTCCAAATTGAATGGTTTGGAGAGTATTCAGGTTTCCAGCATATTGCTATGATAAATTTTAGATCTGGATTTCTTGAAGTGGGTGGTTGCTCTCTACCACAGTTATTGGTAGACAGTCAAACATAGGGTATTTTCCTAAAGCAAATAATTAAGTGATTTCTGTTGTAGGACAAGGATTAGAATAAACAGTTTGTGAGGTACATGCAGCTTAATAGCTCTGAAGGATTCATGCAAAGAAAAAACTGGCCCAAGTTTCCAAAAAGAAGAAAACTCAAACTAAAGCATCCATTTGGTTTGTGACATCAATGCCAAACATATGACATAATCTATTCCAATCTTATCCAACATACATGTACTGAATTACTAGACGCTGCTGCAGGACCCCTCCCCATTCCTAAGATTCACAAAGCCCCCCCCCCTTGAGCTGTCATGACACCACAAAGATGTCTGAACAGCATAGGCTTCCCTGCCTTCAGGTGGGGCTGCATTTCTAAACCTAATATGACAAGGGGGGGGGAACACATGTACCTGTCGGTGATACTTCATGTTCGTGTACATTAATTGTCACTAGCTGGGCTTGCACCCCAAAGCCTTGTCCAAGGTGCCCAATGTGCTGGCCAAGATGTTGCTCTAAGAACGGTGGAGCATTATCTGTTGTGGCGTATCTGATGAAGGCAATCATAGACAACAACTGTTAAGTAGAAAAACATTTACATGTAGCTTAGCGTAGAGAAGTTACCAGCCAAATTGCCGCATGTTAAAGCCTCGTGGCAGGCACTCTGCCAACTTTTGCTGAGCATGTATTGGGCACATGTAAATGGGAATATTTCTGCTCTTGAAGCAAGCTGCATGAAGTAGCCCCAAAAGAAAACCAGGTTGAAATCAAGTCACACAAAAATTGGAAAGCCAGATTGTGTTAAATAGCCAAACCCAGTAACTTTTAACCCTAACACTCCTCAGTCCTCCAACAGGTGAAGGATTGAGGAGGGTTAGGGTTAACACCGTGAAGTATACCTCCACTTTTAGCCTTCCTCCAATCTGGTGTTTCAATTTCTTCAAGTTTGACCTCCTTTCTAACTCAGCAAATGTGCAACAGAGAACTTGAATCAGGTCATTTCATATTGTAACCTGGGCAACGTCTTTGAATACAGATCTCTCATCTACCAATGGAAAGGCATAGCCAAGCAAAACAGAAATTTTTAGTTAGATGCTTTGTAAAGCAGCTCTTTTAATGAAGTGCAGGTTAATTTCCATTCAGTTAATAACATCTTGATTCATTGCAGACGGCATGTCCCCCACATGCATGACCCAACAAGCAGGATGAACCTACGAAAAGTAATACAGAACTTCTATTCAGTGCTGATACTTCACATTACAAAATGGATAACTGAAATGTCACTGCCTTTCCAGACTGCCCTCAGTTATACTACATGTACAAGGACCCTAAGGTGTTGATAAACTGGCTGTTCAAAGAGTGGGCACAAAGTATATCCCCTCCTTGTTGGCCTTTCACCCTAACCAAATTACTCTGCGTCAGGAGTTAGTTACATAAGGCAGCTTCACACTGATCTCTCTTACCCGTCTTACAGTCAACAGGGTTCTCCCTGAACACGGGGTTCGCAATGCACAGCGTTGAGCAATGCACAGCGTTAATCAACACATGAACCAGCTTGTGAAGTTGTGCATGTTGTGCCAAACAGTTGTCAGGTGTTTTTGTTTTTTTTATCTCTGACAAATGGTCGGAGCTTCCCAACTCTGGTCCGGACCTGGGCTGAATTTTGCCTCTGTTTGAGCACTTGTCGCTTGAACCAGTGTGAAACCTGCGCTAGATTCTTGCTACATGTACATGTATGTGAAAGGGGATGTTAGACTCTTTGGCCCTCAACCCCAACCCCTCTTCAACCCCAAGGATAGGGTGGAATAATTACATGTAGCTTTCAAGTGCACACCCAATTGAACACGAGTGCATGATCTATTCGAATCAGGTGAATGACAACGAGAATAAATTCTCTGGACATTTCAAATTTTTTACAAAACAAAAAGAATCGAGACTGTCTCACACTCACACGAGACAGAAATTCAATAGCCATTGGGATGCTTTTTATTGCTGTCTTTCCGGCACCATTACTTGATTCGATAATGTTGGCTGGAAATTATCAGCATCATGTTCAAATCTTAAAGGGAAGGGATGTCCAATGAACTACCCTCTCAGCCAGTAAGTACATGTAGTACCTTCCCCCATCTCTGACAGGATTTACGCCCTCAACTGAACAATAGCACCCTCGAAACTGTCGCAAAAATAGCCTGTGATGAAAGTAAATCCCTAGGGCTAGAATTTCCCATGACAAAAACGTTTTTCCTGTTTTTGACTGTTCTAGTCTAAGTAATACATAAACAGCTCTGTCCTCCCCCTCCCCGTTCAAATAAGAGGTCGTTATTTCATGAGTGTTAAAAGCACAGATGAAGTGCGAGGAAATGTTATCAGGAAATAGCGCTGGGTCACTTAGGCTGATCGCTTTTTAATTGGACTAGGGGCTGACAAACCATGGGTGTGGTTAAGAAAAAGGAAAAGACCTGTTGAGAGGTGTCTAGACTGCATCTTTCATCTGCATTATCTGCTTTTTTATTTCCAAGGTAGTCTTTGAAGGGCATTGTTTGCCATCAAGTGAATAAATCAGAAATAGATTGCCAGGAAGTTCACTGACCATTCATTCACAGGTCTGTGTTCTGTTTTAACTTGTTCCAGAGAGAAGCCATTGTATTTGTGCTGAGCCTGCTTTGACTGTCAGAATGTCGTGTCATGTTTTTACACCTGTTTAAAAAAGTCCAATGAGCCATTCTTGCAATTTGTCAAGTTTTTGATAAAGGGGGCTAAAAGTGTTCAATTCCCAAAGAGTGATGGGATATCCTGGTGCTTATGGCTGCAGTAACGAAGGCATTCGTTTGATTTATCAGAAACTTTTATGTGTGTTGAAACAGAGATGTTTGTTAAATGAAATACGGTATCTGGTTGGACAGCCAAGATATGCAGGCTTGTCTACAATGTAACGGTATAGGTTTAAATCTGCATCAAGTTTATGCAGAAGTGTTGGGTCCTATGATGTGTCTGTTTGTCCATTTTACCGTTGATTACTGGGAAAATAATTGTTCTTTCTGGTTTTGTTTGGTTTTTCTCTCTTTATTTTTTTTTGGGCATGTGGAGCATGTAGTGGTTAGAGTTTCAAACATGAGCTCAGTTACTTATGAATCAGTCTTGTTAATGTGGTCTCTTTTTTTCCTGCCCCAATTAAAGGCTGTTGAAAAATGCAAAGGTGAGCTGAAGAAAGTTCAGAAGAAGGCTTCCAAGAACCACAGCGAGAAATATGTAGAGAAGGAACAGAAGAGCTCAGAGGAACTTCAGCATCTGACCAAACAGCTGTATGACTTCCGCAATGAAGGTCTCCGAGAGGTAGGAGGAATCTAGAAAAAGAAAGGGGAGGTTATCCGAGACCTGAAATTACTAAAACCTTGGAAGTGATTCTGTAAACTTAACCAAGTATTGTGCAGATGGAATGGTTTATCAAATCTCTCAATACGGTTGCATAATTGCCATGAATGTAAGTTCGTAATTTAATTGATGGGCTTAAATGTTTTGACTTCAGTGCTCACAGGCCAAAACTGCAGCTATTATTTTTTGACGGGATTCACAGGTATAGACCCCGTCCTCTCTTGATTTTCCCTTCATAAGCTAGTTTCCAAAATATACCCTCTTGCAGATGCTACAGTGAGAATGCTCTCTCATTTTAGAATTTAAACAATTTTAGCATACTGTGTAAGCAGCAGGGCAGATCAAATGGGTCCATCTGTACTGCTGTAGGGCCCAGTTCTTGTCGAGCTGCTAAGCAAAAAGGTCTGCTGAGCAAATAGATGCACTAAGCATAAATCAGCTGTGAACCAGCTACAAGCAATACACATCACACAACTTTTGGCTGGTAGCCAGTTTTTGCTAAGGTAATATTCTCCATGCTTAGCACAATAGCTCAGAAGATCTGGCCCACCATTGGAACAAAAAAATCCTGAGAAAGGAGCAATGTAATTCTGAAGTATGAAACGGTGACAGTTTGAGTCACACGTGTCTTTTTAGTTCATGTTTTCAACCTTTTCTTGCTAGGTGTGGCTGGAAGAGAAGAAACGGTACTGCTATCTTGTGGAGAGATATTGCTCCCTGGTCAAGAACGATGCTGCATTCTTTGGCAAAGTTAGTACAGACTGAAGACAATACCATATTCTGTCAGTAGATAGCTTACAGTAAATGAGTTTATGATTATCAATACTTGATTCAACATTACCGTGTACTCTTAATGATTTGGGGTTTAATTATATTACTACCCCCGTCCATTAAGTCACTAAAGCATTTATAAGACCATCTTGGCTCTCTGAGGAGTAATTATCTCATTGTGTCGTTAAATTGCAGAGACCTATTCACTTGAAGAGACAGCAATTTTCTCATGTACTGTCACTATACAACATTTTGTAAAGATACGTGTATGTAGATATGTTTTAGCCATGTCTGATGATATCAGGAAGATTTGCCATGTTGTGTCTACTAAGGGAGGGCAATGTGTCTTTGATCGTGATTGGTGCTTAGAGGTAAATGACTAGATCCATCAGTTGCCTGTTATCTATTCTCGCTTCGTTGGTGGTTGTCCTACACAGGCTCAGAGTGTGTTGCGCCATCGGATGCCCAAATGGACCGAGTCTTGTGCCAAGCCAGAGAAGCTTAACGAAGAATGTGAAGATACGCTGAACACCGTAAGCTTGTAAAGTTATGTCATCTTCAATACACACAGGAATAAAAACAGCAGTAATCCTCAGAGCTACAATAGTCATACATTACTCTAGTTGCCAACAATGACTGTTGTAAGTTACGGTTTCGAAGTCAACTTTGTGAGAGCACTCCCCATCATTTGTCTAAGACGATGCTGAAACAAAATTGGCATTGGGTACTTTCGGACTTTCACCCAGTCATGGGCATGTTGATCTTTGTTATTAAAGTGCCCACAAAGGAAATCATTTGACTGGTGAAAGGCGCCCTCACGTGTGAAGTCTGTGCCCTGCCACTGTCGGTGTACTCTGATGTTACTGCCACAGCCTTTGCCAAGACCAGTCACAAGACCAGACATAAGACCAATCACAAGTAACTGGTACACAACGACAAGGGAATGCTTTTGTTGCAGATCATTTGAATAGCCTGTGACTTGAACACAGACTGAAGGTCCTGTGTTGGTTTTGTTGGGTCTTGTGAAGGTCTTAAGAGATCCTGAATAGTCACAGCACAGTACAGTCTCCACTGCACAGCCATGTGACCTAGACCTTGTAGTAGAAAATGTGGTTTGCAGGACCTAAACAAATATGTTAGGTTATGTGGCTTGTGTGTGATTGTATGGTAATGGTTGAAAACCAAAATGTGTAATCAGATAACAGGATCAATAATAGGATGAGGCGTTTCAAAGGTGCTGGAAATTCTGGAACTTTGGTACTCTGGATTTTCAAATCATCAACTAATACAGACCTCTTTTGCAATCAGATGTAACATGAAATCTTATTTTGAGTCATCCAAAAGAAAAGAAAGATTTCTAAATACCACACAAATCCATAATCTGCCAGATACTAAAACATAGCCAGATCATGATTAGATGCGTATGTTGGATGCCCAGGTGTATCTACTTCATATATCTATGCAGGAACTGAAGTCCATCTTGAACCCTTTTCAAGCCTGTAAGCTTTAAATATCTGAATGCCCAGTTACCTGCAGTACTTCTTTGTGGCAAAAAAGTTACTTTTTCAATTACTTACAGAGCATGTTTTTAGTTCCTGAGTCACTTGTGTCTCACTAAGTTTCTGCCCAGTTTTTGTTTTCAAACTAAATAATTCTTAGCATTTCGTTTCACCTTGTAGAAAGATTCTGCTAGAATAGAAGCATCGGAGCCTCTTAATTAACTCTGAAGCTTGTTTCTTGGCAATATTCTTCTGCTGCCTTAGAAATTACTGTGTAGAAAATATACTTTTGACTATTTGACTTTTGACTATTGTGTCATCTTGATTCTTGAAAGTTGCACTAAGTTGAACTGCACAGTTAGAAGACATGGCACAGCACCCAATGGTACTGGTGTTTCTAAGATGTAAGGATGAAATCCAGCTGCTGTCATTTTTCATTTTTTCCGTCAGTGTTTTTTTTTTCATTTCCTCTTAGGGAGAAAGTGGACCACTGGTTTTTAGTTTGGAGTTTCTACTCCCAAGTATTTCTCAGGGGTGTGGGAATTCAGCTTTTCAGCTGATTCCAGCTTTTATTGTCCAGATTTTTTACCCTAAATTTCAGTGTTGTACTACACCTGTTCTGTACAAATACTGGAACTTTTTAGATTTCACCTTTTTGGGCGCTGTGTTCAGAGTTTTTGTATGTTTCCACTCACTCCTAAATCAGCTCTGTCTCTTTTGCGTAGGCTTACCAAGGCAAACTTTCTGGCTCTTCTTTCAGGTGTTCTCCGGCCCTCTCGGCAACCCTCTGCAGATGGAGCTAAGGACCTCCAAACGCCTCTATGAACGCAACATCCTTCTTGCTCAGAGCGAGGAACAAAAGGAAAAAGAAAGAACCACCCCTGTACACTCACATGTTAGCAGTTTCCTTCTTCATTAACAATTTGCTGATAACCCAACTGCTACAGTCTTTTCTGTGCTCAAACCTGTGCAGTATTCATACTCTGTGTAGAGTAGTTTGCTTAATCCTTTTCTTAACCTATTCAGCCTTGAATATTCTGGATGTACCCAATTATATCTTTCAGATCCTTCACCCAGGTATCTCAAGCTTTGTGGGTGTAAAACCAACTTTCAAAATATTGGGTTTTGCCCTTCACCTATCTTTATTTTCACAAGTACTGAATATTCAGTGCAGTTTGAGAGCCCAAGGAGAACTTTACAAGTTTGACAAGAAGTGAACCACCAAAAAGTTGAAGTGGATGTTTTCTCAAAATTTTTTGGATCTAGAGTCCAGTCGTTTTCAGATTAGGCCACTTAAAAAAGAAAATAGTTTAGCATCGGTTGTATTTGCAAAAATGAGGAAGGAGGAGGTTTTTTTTTTAATACTTTGGTGTGCATGTTTATCTGGACTGCCGCAACCATGGAACCAAAGCGCCATGTTCACTTCAGATTTGTACACAGAAGTGCACATGATATTGTGTGTATGTACTCAGGTCACGAGTTATGCGTGCACGAGGTTGTGTGGGCGTTGTAGAAACTACGGGGGATGGCTAAGGACATTGGAAAAGACAACTTTAAAAAAAACAAACATGTGGAATGATTTTTTGAGGCGGGCGCTGAACTAATTATTTTTTCATGTGGCCTTACATATTTATGTGTTTCTGAAATGGTTAACCTGATATTATCTTGATTGACATACTTTCTAATCTCATGTTACCCAGAATTCCTGTCAAGCTGGAAGCTTGTGTTGAGACTAAAATCGCCATAACTGTTGTTTCCAATTAGATTTAATCCAATGCTTTCCAATCTCTGATATCCCCTTCAAATGCACCATTGGATGTCCCGAACACAAAGCTGAGACGCCGCCGTGCACGAAATATTCTTCGAACAAAACTCTTGATCTGTCACGGCGGAAGCATGGCAAAAAAGCATGCTAACTTTTCAGCTGAAGTTGTGCAATAGAAGGGAATCCTTTGTGTACAAACATTCAGCAGAGGTTGGCACAACATTTCTGCCTTATACTTCCAAAGAGCCAGGTTATTTTGGCCCATCTCACAGTTGGGGGGGCAATTCTGTCCCCAAGTACTCAGCTGTGCCATGCTGGATATTTTTGAAACATGATGTGCATGTATAGACACTCTTTATTGTTACAAATGTATATGGTTTAGTTGTTACAGTCCTTTGAAGTTCAAGGCTTCATGCGTGCTAGCCTACATGCATTGAGCACAGCAGTGGATGCTCTATTTGTATTTGTATTTGGCTGACCCAACTAGGAAAAATGTACACTGTGCAAGAATGGTATTTTCAATCATCAGATCGCAAAGATTTACTCTAAACACTCGTAAAGGCTGAGCTCCTGAAAGAATGCACTGTGACGATATCAGAAAAAAAGATTGGGGGGGTGCCAGATTCTCCCCACCCCGCTCTTTTAGGGTTAAATGAATACTGGCTTTCTGCTAACCCTTGAACAGTGCCAAGAAATCGGGGTCCCTGTTTTCAAAGCTCAAATTCAATTCACAGTGGCGATTTGTCTCTCTAACACATAAATTTTATAATTGGTCCCTTTCCTTGACTTCCTTGCAGGAAGCTCCAGAGAGACCAGCCTCAGCTGACATGGCTGATGCCCACACATCAGCGGCTAGCTACAGCGCCACCTTGCCAAACCCCCGACGAGACAAAGGCTCCGGAATGCGACACACCAAGTCTATGATCCATAAACTTCCCCAAGGTGAGACATGTTCGGTCACTGGAGTGATTGGCAAAGACTTCTTAACCCCAAAAGTGCAAGACACCGTTTTACAGCTGGAGAGGGGTGTACATGTGTATGGAATCTGCCTTGATTTTAGTTTCCCACGCTTGAATTTTAGAACTTGACTTTCATCTAATGACATTTATTAGGAGCACATCTGATGAGACTCATTTTCCTTAAACATAGGGTTTTGTTGTTATGGTCATTTAAAGTTTACAACTTCACATATCTCAGACCTGCCTGCATTTAGTGCTTCAGTGAGGAAACTTTTGGCTGGCCTGTCTCAGATACAAAGGAAGTATTCGAGAACGGTGTGTCTGGATGACCTTAAAGTTTCAAATTTAATTGAAGGCATTACTGGAAAAGTACGTATCGTAATGATGTTGGAAAAAAGTTCAGAGGAGATCTGCCTTTCCTTCCCCTTTTTAAGGTTTAATGAAATTATTTTAAAGGAAAAGGCTAAACCAGAAGTGGACAATTCCATGTAAAATTAAAAGTATTTCTTGCTTACTTCCAGGCGTAGTGTCGACTTTGCCACAGAACGCCTACCTGCGTCGAGTCTCGGAAGGAGCGGACAACATTGCCATGGACGTACAGAAGATGACCAAAGTGCAAGCCCTCTACAGCCACATTGCCAGTAGTGATAGCCAACTCAACTTTGCTGAGGTATGCATCACTGTCCTTAATGCAAGTTGCTCTTTTGGCTTGTAAATGTTCCGTTAGTGTTGGTGACTTCCAAAGTTAGATTTGTAGGCTTAAATGTGGGCTGATTTGTTCTTCCTTTTGTATTTGTGCGTGCAAGCTATACGTTGGTAAAGTACAAGCAGAGGATGACTCATCATAAAATGCTTCATCAGGATTGTTAGAAATAATTTGGTAGAATTTTGGGAAATAAAAAAAAAAATCAGTTCTAGGCTGCTACTAATTATAACAATCCTAAATCCTCAATTTGAATTCTTTCGTACACCTGGGGGGGGTGGCTTTGTATCTGTTGGAACTGTCAGCAAATTTGTTGGATCTTTTTTTATATGAAGAAATTATTGTTCTTCCTTCTTGCCAGAAGATTAGAATTAGAACAGGTTTTGCTGTTAGAGGTTGTTCAAGGATTTGGCCCACCCCTCCAATAACAGGTGATTGGTTCAATGCAAGGATTCTTTCTTTGCTTTTTTTCTCTGATGGTTCTCTGCGCATTTGTGTACATTCAGTTCAAAATTAGTCATTTGCACTTCGCATCTTTCTCCTCACAAACCTGATGTGATTTGCATTTCTCCTTCTGTCTGACTTTTTTAAGAACGACATAATTGCACTGGTTGGGCCGAAGAACAATGGCTGGTACTACGGACACAATATACGCACCAAGCGCAGCGGCTGGTTCCCAATAGCCTACACACACCCCATACAGACAGCACTGACCCAACAGAATGGTGGAACCAGGTAAGCCAACATGGACATAAATGAAAAGAAATTGCTGAAGGGTTTTCATGAGAATGTTTAACCAGCTTCCTGCCTAATTTGTCTCCTGCATAACTGCATTCAAGGTGATTGGATCAAAGTGCCTGTCTAACCATTTCATTTTCACATACTTTGCACAAAGTTTGGTACCAGATCTCTCACAAATAAGCCTTGTTTTCTTGCTTCGTAAAACTTAATGAATTAGTTGCTTTTTTCAAACAGCCCCCTGCCTCATCAGAGCCCTAGCCAGATCACCAACCAGTCTGGTGCCCCACCTCTCCCTCCACTCAGCACCAACCCAGCCTTCAATAAGGGCATGGCAGCCAGCATGGACAACATAATGGATGGCCGTAGTCAGTACCCGTCACCGGACTACCACAGTGACCATCACAGCCCTGGTGTGGCACCTGCAGCATCCACTATGTCACTCCCACACTCACTAATGCCAGGGGTACCGACTGACCAGCATGGATCTCTGGTTAGCTTGAAACTTTTTTCTCTGGCCCAAACCAAATGCTAGCTTTATTCTTTCCTGTTTGAAGTGTTTTGTATATTTTGACAGTAGTTTAATAGAGCTGCAAACTGGGATTTTTGTGTCAAGTTTTTGTGTTCTAGTGGAACACACAATCACAAATCACTGACATGTTTTGGATCAAATCCCCCAAATTGCCTGCAAAAACATAACAACAGGCCTTTCTCCATCAGTTTTGTTTTAGCTTTCAGTGTCACATCTGAGTAAACTCTGTTTGACAATTGTTTGAAAATGTGACTCCAGCATAGTATCTGTCGTCACATGTATAGTCCTTTGAACTCACTTTTCAGGTGGAAGGTCATGTGTCAGATGGCACCAATGGTTTGGGTCGAAGGTCACCAACCAGCAGTGTGTCCAGCTCGGCATCTTTGCCTACCCACCATTCGAAGGATACCGCCAGCATTGAAGAAGAGGAGGGAGATAGGTGGGTGGAGCTTTGAATTGGGGGGGAGGATAGGGTTGAACAAAACCACTTAGTACAGAACAGAAAGGTACATTTTTGGGAGAAGGGACGACTGGATGCCAAAAAGGGTAGTTTGTCATTCATCTCTGATCAAACGGTTGAGTTAGCTATGATTTAGTTTTGGGATGCAACAAAATTGTGGGCATTGAGCTGAAAATGTCACATTTTCTTTGTCATTTATTTGTCACTTATTTTGCATTTGCCCGGGATAGTCCGTGGGTAGTCTTTCAACTTACATTGGGGGAGGGGTCCCAATGGAAGGAAGAACCTGGAGAGAGAAGACAACAAGGAAATGTAGTGTTTAGAGCTTATGGGTGGAAAGAAAATTCTGGACAAATATTCGGCAGAAATCCGCAGAATCAGGTACCAACCACGTACCAACCAAAGCGTGACTGGAACCCAGGTTGCAGAGGTGACACGTGAGGAGAGTACCCCTGTGCCAACCTGACTCCCCCGTCACTCACACATTGGAACTAGTATACACCCACAACGCATCCTTTCCTTGCTCTCGAGTAGGGCACAAAACACCATGAACATTTCCTATTCAGAGTCAAGCTGTGTTGATTTAACTGGCTGTGGCTGAGGCTAACATATTATCTATGGGAAATGACTGTAGCCACTAAATTGTGGCATCCATAGAGGTCCATGCTGTTTCCAGCCACAGCCCTAACATTTTGGACAAAGCCTCTGTCACAGGTTTCAAATTCAATGAATACAGCTTGACTATCAGAATTTTTTCAACTACACGAATATCTCCTTACTTCGTTTCCTGCCGTCCTCTCCAGTGCTTCGTTTCCGGGTGTTCAGCTACGCAAGACAGTCACCAATGATAGATCAGCACCCATGATCCCCAAGGACTACTCAATGAATGAATATGCAAGGTAACGAAAGAGACAAATTTAATTAAGAAGTCATAGGCAGAGTGTAGAGAGTTGGACAGCAATTTTACTTCCCAGATGAAAGATTTATATCACCCTTTGGTAGAAAGAAAAACTACTTCCCAAGTAGTATCAAGCAGTTAGCTGTATATCAGGCCCTGTATCAAGACCCAGGTGTCTGCATTGCCTAACTCACGTTTAAACCCGAGTGTTTTCCTGGTGTCCTGCAATTGGGACATCAAATAAATGTTTGTTTGTTGGGGTGTTGGGGTTGTTGGGTTGTTTGTTTGTTTGTTTGTTTGTTGGGTTGTTTGTTTGTTTGTTTGTTTGTTTTTGGGGGGGTTGTTGGGGTGTTTGTTTGTTTGTTGGGGTGTTGGGGTTGTTTGTTTGTATGTTTGTTGGTTGCGTTGTTGGGGTGTTGGGTTGTTTGTTTGTTTTTTTGTTTGTTGGGGTGTTTGTTTGTTTGATGCATATAGTCTTTCATTGGTTTTGATTGGCTTTATTTCCCTAATATTTCAGTGTTGCCATTTCTACATTGTTAACATGGAATTCTTAAATGAACCTGTGCCCTTGTTTGAATTGGCCAGTGTACTCCCACTAAGGGATCCTGTGAAATGCACCACAAAACTAGAGATGTATTCCAGAAAGATGAAAATCTCCCGTGTACTGTTGTCTGTTCTGTGTGCTGTACGGTATTTGTATACTTCAACTGCACCTGGGTTTGATCCAGAGTTTTCCGTTAAGTTTTTTCGTAACTGCAACCAGAACTTTTGTGAAACTTGAAGTTTCTCTTTCAAGAGACTGGTCATTCCCACACACCCTGGAAGTTGGTGCACGGTATTGTCCCTGAACCGGCATTGAAAATTGCTTTCCAAATTCATCTAGACTTCATTGATGATCATGAACCCCTCACAGTCCCCAGTCCCTCACCTGATTTAGGACAAAGCTCTGCAAGGGTTAAGGATTCTTGTCAACGACAAAAGCCAAAGGTCACCTGTCATTACATTTGGTGACCCATTGACTTATTGAAACATGTACACAAATGCAGAATTAGACCTTAGCTGCATAGTACAAGATAGACAGTAGTTTTAACCAGAGCCCATTTTTTATCTGATTTCCTTTCCCCCATGTAGCTCAGCTAAGTAGATTAGCTCGCAATTTGAAAAGTAGAGTAAGTAAAAGGAGTAATATCCTGTCTTTTGTTTTTGGTTATTACTAAGTATAATCATGATACTGACAAAACGCATACTAAGCCACATTTCTCAATAACTTCAATATCAGAAACATTGCTTTTTGTTGTCAATCTGGTGGTTGTTTCGTGACAATACAGTGTATTGAGTCTTCTCTTTCCTTTTTATGTAACTGCTACGCCCTTTTTTGTGTCATCATGTCAGATTTAATCCGAAATTCTTTCTTCTGATTTCACTTGAAAAGCTAACTTATCAAGCAACTCAGTCATACAAACTGTATTCTAATTCACTCTTTATATTTTGTTTTCGTCTTGCTGCTTTTTATAACTTCCTAAACTGCTCTCTTTACAATATTGTGGTTGTCTTTACTCTTCCCTTTTCCTCTTTTGATGGTGCTTTGTTTTTCATCGTAACCAATGACCATCTTAATCACTTGTGTTTACCTTTGTGTATGCCTTTGAAGTTTGAAACCTATTTAGTAGAACGGCATTGAGAAAATTGAGGCCTTTCTGTAGGCCTATCCTGACAAGTTGTCCACCCTCTTATCCTATCACAAGTTACAGACAATGTTACTCATGTTTACACAATTGCATTTTGGGATTAAACACTCGGACCGTGACTTTGTGAGGACAAAAGGAAGCCAATTTGATTTCATACTGTTTATCCCTGGAAACATCAGGACAGGAACTGGTAATAGTAACCTTTTCAGTGTCCGTGAACGAGATGGAATGAGTGAAGGTAGATGATTGACACAGGTTGATTTGAGTGTGAAAAGAGGACCTTTGATTGATTGCATGTGATCCAGAGCTCATTCTAATACCTACAGGTGCACCTCAAAATCAAAACTACATGTAAAATCAGGAGCCTTTGGTTTTAAAGTTTTCCGGAAATCTTTCTGACAGTGAAAACTCGCAATCCTCAAAGGAGCTAACTTAAGCTGTGTTCGCACTGGACTAAAATTGTAAATTTGTTACTGTGACTGCTTGTTAATATTCAATCATGGTTTTCTTCCGTGCATACGCATGTGGATTACTCAAACCCGTGAAAAGTCCATGACTGTTGCAGTGTCATAATTTTTCAGAATCTCACATGGGCATGCTTCAATTGACTTTAAAATCTGACATCGGATGTGGTCCAAAGAAAGCGTGCAATTCTTTTTATTTTGTACTTTTGAAGTACTTTGAAGTAATCAAGAACCAGCCCTGTATGTTTGTGGAACAAAACCTATTGAAGACATTGGGCTCAGAATCTCAATCTTTCAAGTGAGTGTTTTTTTATCCTTGCCGTCGCTGGTCTGAGGACTGTGAGACAAGAGCGGTTCAACCTGCTCCACCGAAAAGGAACTCGTAATCTCTTTCCAGATATTTTCCATTTGATCGATTGACATTACAATACCACAAATCAACAAACAGCTGAAGTAGAGCTCGGCATTTGGCACACTTCCTGAGTTTTTTCCGACATCGGTGTCACGTTTATTTACAGTCATGACTTGTGACGGTAGCTTTATACAGACTCATGTGTGGGAAACAACAGAGGAAAACAAAAAGGAAAGACAACCTATTGACCCGTGAACTCATTTCACATGATCAAAATGTAACTTGACATGTACATTACAGTGGCAGTCCACACGGGACTTAAAACTGACAATAGAATTCTTCTGCGACCCAGTTGGCCCAGTAAAACTTCCGCGGCAGGAAGGAATAAAACTGACAACCGATGATCAATACTTGACAATTTTGACAGTTTACCAGCCATTGGATTTAATTTTGTCAAATTGACAGCAGCGTCAAATTGACAACTGCCGCTGTGTATTTTACCAAAGTCCAATGCGAACACAGCTTTGGTATGGAAAAGTGTACTCAAATTTTTTCACTCTTATTTCTCACAGACAAAGCAGTGATGTGAACAAGTTGTTGGCTGTATGGATAAACACAGTTGTTGGCATGAAATGATCAACTATACTTATCACACCATACATATTATATGTAGGTTAATTCATGACCATGCTTGAAAGCCGTTGTTGAGAGGGCTCCATCTCCCGGCACAAGCAGTCTGAAAAAAAAAGCTGTGGGCGATCTAAATGTAACAGAGCTTTCCAAAATGGCATATTTCCACCTACTGCATTTTGTTTGTGTGTTTTAAGGTTGGACAACTTGTCATGACATGTCACAGAAGTTAGGCCATGCACAAGTCTGCAACGTTAGCAACACACAGTGGTGTGCTTATGCTATCATTATAAGTGGCAACAACAAATCAGAGAACATGTGAACGACCTACACACAAGGATGCGCTTGTACATGGTGCCTTGTGGAGTAGCGGAACAATGGTACCCCACAAGGCCACTTTGGATCCTTGTGGGGTACTAAAGTGGTACCCCACAAGAATTTCACAAAATAGATATTTCAAATTTACTCAAAAAGGAGGAATTTTCAAGTGCCATTCATCTGTCGCAAATTGAAGTGTTCTATATAAGGGACATATGGTGGAAAGTTCAACCCAGGAAACTGAATTTGGTTGAAATGGCAGTGATTTGAAATTTTGTCCGTGTTGTGTGGGAGTTTTGTGAACGAGAACAAAGGAAATACCCCACAAGTATACATATGTAAGGGTGCGTGGTACTGCATCAGCAGTGAGTTCTACTTGTGGTCGTTGGTTAAGTCTGTAGGCAAGAACCATTGCACAGGAGTGTAAAGCTGGTACTCTGGCAAAAGAATTGAACACGAATGCTGTTTTCTCACCATCTTTCTGACTGTTATTATGCCCCAAAATTCACAGTGTTTAACAGTACCATCCGTGAGGGTACTTTACGTACCATGTTGAAGAGTTATTTAGAGCACACTCTCACCTTCTGTGGTGACAAAACTTGTATGACCCATCACCTCAAATCTTGATTTAAGCCTTTTTTGTATGGACTGCTTGGATTCTTACATATTTTGTTTGGAAAAGAAATTAAACAGTAAAGAAGTTGAATTTTAAAACTTGAAATCATTTGGCCACCTATTCGCAACAGATACTGAAAGTGAAGTTATCAAAGAGAGGAATACAGTGAGCCAGAAGTTCTACACATCTCACAGAAGCCTTTCAACCAGCTTATGCCTAGACCTTCATGCTAAGATAGTGGCTGAGATGATGTTCAGCTCTTCCACAAGTGCCTTCCAAGATTGAAGTGAAAAAAAAAGTTATATACAAAACTAAATCTATCTCTATATATATTGTAGGAAAAAAAGACAGCTACAATTGAAAAATGTTTATCCATATTTTGACACAGTTTTATTTTCAAACAACTCAAAAGAATTAAGCAACTCCTACTTTCCAGTAAAAGTGCTAAAAAGGTTTCATCAGACTTTATTGGGTCATTACTTTCACTGTAAGTCACAGAAGCTTAAATTCCACAACTTTGTTCAAAAACAACTCAACAATAGTTTGTCTGATTTTTCAGTTACGTACAAGAAGTAGAAAATTAGTCCAGGGTGTAGCATATAGAAAATTCAACCTGACAAAGTCTATTTTGCATTAAAAGAGAAAAAATGCAAAGGTTTTGCTATAAGACTTGCCTTTTAAGGAAATTTTATATCGCAATTCCATGTACATACACAAGATTTGACACCATCCATATACACTGCATGAGTGCAACAACAGTATTATCCGTTAAAAAATACAAGTGTGGACATTTTTTTGTCAACAATGTAACTTTGATGAAAGATTATATATATATTGCACATTGATCACATTATTTTCTAATGCATAAATCGTAACTTGTGTGCTTGAAAACAGTTCTGTTGTCATTTTAATTAAAGTGATGTTGTGCATGTACCCAAATCATAACTTTTTATGTTTAATAGAAAACATTTTAAAGTATGTTTGTGTATTTTAAAGAAGCAGTTACAAAACAGTTGATGAACTCAACGTCTAACTCTTTGTAAAGTTTTTTAAAAAGTGCACTTTTTTCATGGGTTTGACTCATTTCAAGTTCAATAAATGTAAAAAATGTCATTTGTTGAAATGTTTGCTCTTTTAATTGCAACAATAACAGCTGGGCTTTGTGCCGGAGATAGTTTAAAAATTTATTTAACAGACAACTAGGATAAAGACTTATGTCTTCTAAATGTTACCTTAATATATACATTGTGTTGTGTACAGTTAGATTTTGATATCTAAGTAGAATTTTGACCAAGTATTGCCCAACCTGAATTAACCATTTCCAATTGATCAACGATCATACCATTTGATTGTAGTTGCCCTGTGTACAGAAAATGCATTTACTTTGAATAAGTTATACACAAAATTATTACCTTTGTTTGGCTCAACACTTTTATAGAAAGTTTGTTAGTTTGTAAGATATTTGCACAAGAACACTCATATTGAACACTCACATTGAACACTCACAGTGAAAAAAACGACAGAAAATCAGTTTACTGCAGTCAGTTCTTTGTGAATAATTTTGCTTCCTACATCGGTACAACTTGTTACACCCCGTTAAGAGTTCAAGGGCCATGTCATTGTTAAAATTTCACTGCACCTGTTAGGAATCACTTGCATTCCCCGCATGTATCTGCTGGTCCAGAATACATGATTGGGTTATTTGATTAGCAACAAGACATTAGCAACAAGAACATGCCATTGTTCTTTTGCAGGTACCAGGTACCCGCTGTTTTTTAGGTGTCTAGTATCCAGTGGTCTGGGTATTCTCCTCAGCCCGAGCAGTGAGTGTTAACAATGTCGAGAGTGTGAAGAATTGATAGCCTAAACAACTTGATAAAGCAGTAATTCAACGATACACGTAATATCGTTAGTTTTGCCGAGTTCAAAATCTTAAGTAATTAAGTAACTTGCATGTACTATGTAATGCCTGATATTTCAAAGATAGTATTTAATGGTTTCAGGACTGAAGCCCAGCAAGTTACATTGAGTTTGATTGCCCTTTATTGCAGTATTAGATTTTGTTGGATACGGGAAGTCGCTTAGAAAAAATACTATGGAGTTAAGATTAAATAGTTACCTCTGACTTCTCTTCATAATACATTCATATTATTCTAGGCACTTTTCGTTTAGTCTGTATTAATTTCTGTAAATTTGTGTTAAATGAACATCAAGGTGCTCGTGTTAGATGTGCTGTATAATTTTAAGAAAATACCAGTATACATTTGTTCAGCAGAATTATTTAAAAATTGCTGTGAAGGATTGAGGGCATTTTAGATAATAAGTTTTACAGTTTTTTCCCTAAGTTTGCTGAGATTACTCATAGATGATTTTAATAATTTGAAAGGAAGGCCTATTAGCTTGGTCATTTTCCATTTATTTGGCAATCTGTAGATTACAGTGAGAATTCACATAACCAATGTGGTTATGTTTCCTCGGGATGCTTCCATTCATTGTGTAAAATGGACACTATACATTTTTAACCAATCAAATTTGTGCTCTCTTCTGAGAAAAACAATGTGTGCTATAATCAGCCAGTAGCTTTATTGAATCCAAAACTTTAATCCAATCAGAGTGATTTTAATTTATGTGCTGAAAAATTATGTTCCATGTGACAAATAACTCATAGTCATGAGCCTAATTATGTGAGATTTATTTACCCTAGTTTTTGAGAAAAAAAATTTGTAGACCCATGCGTTTTCCTTGCTATGTTTTATCAATACTTCCATTACCATTTAATGGTACTGGAATTCTAGACAAACAAATCAGCATTCGTTACATGTACTTTGATACTTGCTGGTGAGCTCACATATTGGTTGGTTCACCAGCACTACATAGTTGGTTGCAGCTATAACCAAACCAAACCAAACTATGCCAACTGTAGTACACCACTACCTGTATCATTAATTTTGTCACTGGATTGCTTGCTGGTAAGAACACATGTGAGAAATTGACTGTGGAACGCTTACTGCAGTCATTGGTCACATTTCCTGTCCATAAAGTCTGCATGGTTTTGTCGTTGACCTTTTCCCATTTGATTTTCCTTTCTGTAACAGATAATTTGTTGATTGGAGTTGATCATCGTAGTTGTCAGTGTTGGGCACGTAACATTGAATGCTATGTAGCAGTGTTGGAGTCAAGTCCATCACCAGTCCAGTGACAAGTCCCTTCACAAGGCCAGTCACAGGTCTGTCCTTTCACAAGGCCAGTCATTAGTAACAGGGTGAATAATAACAACAGCATGCTTTTGTCAGAGTTTATTTGAATAGCTTGTGAATTGCCTGAAGATAGAATGACGTCTGATGGACTCGACTGCACTGCTTTGTAGAAGCTTACATTTGTGAATAGTTCATTGGAATAATGGGGTTAGCACCGGCTCATTTTAATTTCACGTTGTTGAGACTTAATAAGAATTGTAAGAACTAGATTATGCTGTCATTTATCTCAGCTCCAGTCCAGCATTAACTCTGGATGCAACATACACTGCACATATCTAACGCCACAGTGTTTTGCGCCGTGGCACTATATTGGATTTGCTGAGTCCTAACGCAAGTCAAGACAGATTAGTTTTTAAAAATAGGCAGGAGTGTCTGTCGGCATCTACGCTTACTTCATGGCTCAAGTTTGGGGCCTGTTCCACGTTTTCAGGAGCCTTTCCCCATGTTGAGTTCAGTTCAACTTTCAGTTCTTCTTTTTGTGGGTTTTTTGGCCTTGACCTCGGACAGGAACTCAATTTAAGACTGTGGACAAAACACAACTGACATTGTTGTGGCCTATTGCAGTAACACGGGCAGAACAATGAATGTTAAATTGGTCTCATTTAACTTACGTTGTGACTAAGGGCTTGGCAGTGCACCCTCGCATTTGACCCCTCCATGTTTGGAACCTCTTTCATTAAACCCTGGATCCACACTTGTAATGTACTACAATTCGGATGTTTTGATTTTTCTGGAGCACAACAGATTGTGAAACAATTACGTCCTGAGCCAGTGGTGTAGTCAAGTCCTCACAATTCCTCAAGTCCTCACAAGTGGTATATTCAAGTCCTCACAAGTGGTTTAGTTGAGTCGTCACAAGTCCCGAAGTCTTCACAGGTCATCCAGTCCATGGCCCAACCATTTCACAAGCTAGGCATTCCCTTTTCAGTGTTCATTCACTCATTACCAGAAATTCATAAAATGCCCATTCCAAAAGATGGCACTGTGTACGTGGTTACACACACTTGCAGTACATGTACTGCATAGCTAAGCGTGAACCAGTAGTACATGAGAAACATGCCTCCGCTTACCTGACTGAAGTGCAAATGTGGCTGATGTTAAGTTAAGCAGTTGAAGTGAATTCAGACGGCTCAAAGCTACACAAACCATTCAAAATCCAGCCCACTAAATAATGCTCCAGTATGCCTCTCACACATGTGTAATGTAGTATGTACATGCACAGTCTGTCAATGCATTCATTGTTATATGCACGTTGCCAAATCATGCAACACCTGAACACTTTGACCCATGGATATACACTGTAAAATTCGTCGCCATCTGCAAATCTTTAAGCTCTTCTGTAAACTTTGATACACTGCCCTCAATCGACACTATTTGCAAGTTTACAGCTCGAAGGCTATTTCAATGAAAACTGGCCTTGAAACTCAGCCAGTTGTTCAGTTTCAGTGTCTTGAGATGAGCATGTCATTGCACCCTAGAGTGAAAGTTTCGAAGGCAGTATGTACAATTAGTTTTTGTGAACATTTTGGACAAAACTTTGGCAAATAAAACTTCGTGAGTTGGTCTGTCATGTAGGCTATTTACAGTTTACTTCCTATTAACTTATACAAGAATATCACATTATAAATTTTAGACTCTGTACAAACTTTTTGGAACCCTGCTGTCGTGAGTTCGTGCATATGCAGATGCAAACTTTACGAATTTCAGGTAATGTGCTACTTGTGACCCAACTTGCAGTGGACTTGAGTATTATTCTGATCAGCAGACTTGAAGTTCTTAAACTGTTTGTCATTTTTTTACCAAATACAAGTTCATATTTTGTTCAGTGAACATATTTTTTCTTAGATTCATATTCTTTGGTTTATCAAATGGAGAGGTACCAAGAATATGCCTTTCTCTCATAATTTCTGAAACAGTATTGTCTATCACATTCCAGACTCGTTATTATTTGTATAACCTGTACACTTTGCTCTTTAGCTCACAAGAGTGTAGGGTAGGGGTAAAATATTTATTTCAAGTGTGCAGTTCTGGCTGAGGCTGTTTTTTTCTGTATAAGGTTTAAGTTTGGTAGAAAATTGCAAGATTGCTACTGATACACAGTCAGACAAATCCTCTGTGGGTTACATTTGTATTGAAGTCCTATAGACTGAAGACACAGCCTCTTCATTTGGAGTATTTTTCTATTCATAATAATGAATATTTTCTCCACGTTGGATAACGTAGCTACAAAAAGTAAAAAAAAAAAAAAAAGGGAATGGACACACCATGGACCCAGTATATTATGTAAATGGTTTGCACAAAATACACTTGTCAGTCCCAGTAGATGTTGGTGAATAACAAAGTGCCCTCTCTATTACATGTAGGGATTCCATAGCCTCTGTCTTTGTAGTCAATGTATCAACCATTTGAACGAGTCTTTGAAGCCAGATATTATTTCAAATTCAACTACAGAGCAAAGGTCATTTACAAATGTGTGTTTATTTGAAACTGCGACTACCCGGAGTCATTTTAATTTGATTTTGGACTAAATGGTAGAGTTCATCCTAAACTAAGACCTTTTCACATTGTAGGATGCATTTATCGTAATAGTGCCTGTATATTAAAATAAAATTGTAATCTGCTTTCTGTCCAAAATTATTCATTATTTGGAGTTATTGTGCATGAACCTTCCAGTGCCCATAGATGCTACCACCTGTCACCATAGGTTTTAGCAGTATTTTCATAAATCGATATTTGGAAAAAAGGGGGTAAAAAAAATGGTGAGTTGTTTTGGTCATTCAACTGGAGTTGAAACCTTTGTTAAAAGTGCATCGCCTGTGCTCAGGTTTGTAAACGAGAAGTCAAATTTCATTGGCGAAAAGTTTTAATTGGTATGAAGTGATCGCCAGAGGGCAGTAGACACGTCTTCTTTTTTCTCCAGAACGATTTTTGGGAGTCTGATGCCCTATGAGTGTTTTGCCAATCAACCTGATACAGATTTATGTTGACTAAGGTACCAGACTTGGAAAGGTACGTTTACTTTCCTTTTTTCGAGTGGAGATTCCTTACCAGTTGTACATTGTGTTTGGGAGGAAAATGCTACGACGTGAATCGTCGGCGAGTCAATCTAATAGCATTTTTGTTCATAAAGACCCAACCAGTCTTCCGAATGAAGGGCTCTCTTAGCTGAAGGTAGACAGTCATTAACGAAGTCACTGACAATATTGACCAAGCACGCGGTGGTGCGTCACGATAGTGCAGTA